CTTTTTTTTATGTTTATTTTGTAAATTTGTGTTTGGGATTGTAAACTTTAGTTTTGTTTTAATTATGTTTTAAATTGTATGGTTGTGTTGTTTATACACTATTGCTATGAGACTCTACCTGCCATACCTCGTGTTTCCGCTTTAGCGGGGTGTGACAGTAATTATTTGTGTAGCTATGATATGAAGTTTTATTGATGTAAAATTTTTAAGTACAAATCGGAACAGAATATGCAGAAATCGAAGTACAATATGCAGAAATCGGAAACAATATGCAGAAATCGAAGTACAAATCGGAATAGAAATCGTATTGTGAAGTCGTAACAGAAATCGAAGTAAGTAGAAATCGGAAACAGTAAATCCTACCTGTCTTTGATAAGCAGAAATCGATGAGAATGGAAAAAGGTTCGGCGATGGAGACGACCACCATGGGAGAAAGTGACGGAGATGGAGACGACCACGGTGGGAGAAAGCGACGGGGACGGAGACGACCACCGTGGGAGAAAGCTACGAAGCCGGAGACGACCACAGTGTGCTCAATCGATGGAGACGGCGATAGAGGAGGCTGGAGGAGACGGTGAGCGATGAAAATGGAGGGAAAATGGAGGAGAAATGGAGGATGCGATGGAGACGTGAGCTAGGACAAGACAAATCCCACGAGAATGGATTTTTAAAAAAACATGTGCTTCCAAAGGATTCTAAAATCCATCGGTCACAGGATTGTAAATGAATCCCAGGATTTTAAATCCTACCAATCCTACAAACCAAACACAGGATTGAAATGGATTTTAAATCCAAATCCCTCCAATTCCATTCCTGCAAACCAAACGCATCTATTATTTGATTATTTGTCATTGATCATAATTATGTGCTTCCATAATAGTCTTTTAAATATGATATAACTGAAAAATATAGTATCCAACAAATCTATTTGTATAAATTGAGAATGTTTTAGTCTACATAAATTCCTCCTAAAAGCTTGGTCATCTACATAAATTCCTCCTAAAAGCTTATTGAATAAGTCACTTTCAATATTAAGCTATCAAATAATTATGTATAACTAAATGAATAAGCTGAATCCCATTAAACTCATTAACCTGCTAATAAATAGACACTAAAATCATTTAATCAAGTTTAATCTATTACTTGTAAAATCATTTTTCTTAGGATAACTCATTCTATGATTCCTAAAACATGATTAGTTTGATTCTAAAAATATAGAATTAAAATTAGTTTAAGAAACACTACGAAGCTTATATGTGTCTACCATCTACACTTAAGCTGAACCATATGAAATATTGACATATATTAGGGGTGGATAAAATTCGAATTGGATCAAATAAATCGAAGAATCGAACAAGAACCGAAAATGTCCGGCCAAGCATGTTTCTTTGCTTGCTAGTTTATTGATCCCAGAAATCTTTTGCTTCTTTAGTTTGGTTCTATATGTTTAGGAACATAAATTTAGTTAATATATTTTCAAAAATTGATTTTCGATTTTGTAGAATTGAATCGGTTTGTAAGTTTTCAAACTTGAAACCAACACTGTTTTTGGTTTATGATTTTCATCTAAAAACAAACCCAGATTAATCTTTCTGTTCACGATCTGGTGTGAGATCGAACCACTTTTTAACTGATTTTGATTAATTCAGTTTTCTTTCATATTATTTTTTGATTCTTTGTTTATTATTTGCTTAAATTATAAAAAATAACAACGGTTAACAACTAAATTACAAGTTAATTTGCATTACAAGAATCATTATTTCTTTCACCAAAATGAAAGAGGAGTTTGACATTTAGTCAAAGAGATGGAAATATTATGAGTTTCATAAACTCCAAGCATGCCCTCCCTAGAACACTAACCAAATCATGTCCAAAGGAATTCAACCATCACTATCCCAAACTACTTCAAAACAACCATCAAATCTTCCTTGATCCACAATCTCTCACCCCTAAAATCACGAAAATTTGGGCTGTAATCAGTCAGGTTTGGTGAGTGGAAACCAACGAACAATGCAGGAATGGCTCAGCAGAGGCAATCTGGAGGCAGCTTCTTCGATAAAGTCGGGTTCGGAAACGATCATGTTTCAGTCGGGATTCGTGCCGCCACGGCTTCCCATAACCACAACTTCAAGCAATCGCGAACTACTCATCATCGCCGCTTCAGAAGTCGAAGGATTTCCGTCCGCGCTTTCGTGCTCGTTGTTCTAACCCTCATTTTTATGATATCTGCTTCTGCGTTCTTCTTTCTTTCTAAAGATGATAAAGGTAGGTCACCCTATTTCTGCTTTGCTCTTAGTTTTGTTGTCGAATTCAAATCTCAATTGTGTAAATTTATCACCTAATCCAACTTAGATTTGTGCCGTTAGTTGGGAATGTTGAAGGAAAAATTCAAGTTTGTACTTCCTGTCAGAAGAAGATGCTAAACTTGACTGGCCTTTAGTTGGTTTCTTGTCATTTTTTAAAATTTGATTTGTTTCCACCAAATCTTGATTTGTGGTATCAGTGGGAAATCTTGAAGAAAAAACCTGAAATAATAGAAAGTTCAAGATTCATCAACTTTATGGTACTTAAAACTGATTGAAGAAGATAGAAGGCAAGGGGAATGGCGACTTGAACCCATGGCGTTCAAGGTATTAGCACCTAGGGATGATACCAGAATACCATCAAGCTAGATGCTTGATAGCAGATAGAAGAAGACTTTTAACTTATAGGGGCTTCATATGGTTTCTCCTTGTATCATAGTGTGTAGGCATGTTCTATTGACCGTAAAACATTTTCTATAAAGAATGGCGATTTCTCTTACCCCTTGTATCTCTGTGCAGATAAGGATGATTACATTGTTGAAACTGATGAGTTTGGGACTGATCTGGACTTCCTCGCAAATGTGACACGTACAGAGAGATCAAAAATCCTCAAGTTTGGCCACGGTTTGGTTGGGCATGGTCGTGACTCCCGCTATTGGGACAGGGATGATCGGAGAAGAGATGAAGATTACGGTGAGGATTTAGTGGGGCATTCTGAAATTGGTGCTCAGGGTGGGTCACTTACTAATCTTAGTACTCCGTCGAAAATAAATGATAGAGAAAAGAGGTTCTCCGAAGAAAACAAAAGGTCAGATCACAGGGTAGCTGGTTTGTATAATGAAGCTGGGCGTAATGAGCTGAAGATGTATGAAGCAGAGTATGAGGCCTCTTTAAAGGTCGTTTCTGTATCTAAGAAGGAAGCTAAGAGCATTAATCAGCAGCCAGATGATACAGATAAACAGAAGCATGACGAGGAAGATGATTTGGATGACGAGTACAATGACGAAATTGATATGCATGACATTCGACTTGAAGACTATAATGCTGGCCTAGGAAATGACCACAACTCTGATATAGGAGTATCTCAAGGTGTAGATGGTGGAGGATCTTCAACCAAGAATGATGATGACATGCCAATTAAGGACGTTACCCACACTTTGCTTGTGGATCCTTTAGATCCTGACAAACTCAAGATTAATTCCGGACATGTCAGTGTGATTGATGTGCAATCCTCAAGAAGGGCAATATCTGAGAGGAGGATTGCTTCCAAGAAGAGGTCAAAGCGGCGAAAATATTCAGGTGTGATATCTGATCTCGCATAAATTTTATTAGGAGTGTTGTGATGTTGCAGATATGTGAATTCTTTTTTCTTTTGAAATGGTGCTGCGCCCCCTTAGATTATAGAAAAATATTTGTGAGTACAGGTGAGGGGCTTGGAATAATCTGTAAGGTTCCTTCTTTGTGATACAGTTCTTCAATGAAAATGCAATGGGAAAATCTTATACAAAGATTTCCCTCCTAACNGGGGGGCTTGGAATAATCTGTAAGGTTCCTTCTTTGTGATACAGTTCTTCAATGAAAATGCAATGGGAAAATCTTATACAAAGATTTCCCTCCTAACCTTGGAAAGCTTTAGTGCAATGGGGGTACCTTATGGTAAAAATAAGGACTCCTTTGGAAAGTGAACTTTGAGACAAGTACAATGCCTTTTTGGAAGATTAGCAGTAGCATGCCATCTTAGATTTTTAGCTTTTTGTATCACATATCATCCAGTTATGACTATTTTCTTTTTGTTCTTTGCTGGTGCTGCAGTTGTTGCATCACTACTGTTGGAAATGAGAGTTATATTAGGATCGTGCTTTATAATTCTAGTTATAGAAGGCTTAGGTTGCTTTCTTGCATTACCTGCATTTTTCTTTGGCTTGAAGCATTCTACCTATGTATATTTGATTCCCTTTATTGCAATCAATATAAGCTTTGGTTTTGATAATGTACTCAAGGCATCAGGGCTTTTGGTTAGAAAAATGGGACAATTATGAGATTTTCACTCTGCCGCCTGCAAATACAAAGTGCCCATCTGTTGTTTCCATTTTATTCCTTCTGGCTCCGTCTCCGTCCTGTTCTTTTGTTTCTGTATGAATCTATTCTGCTCCTCACCTCCAGCTGAAGCTGCCTCCAAATACTTTCATGCCCTTTTTGGAGTTTGCCATCACCCCACACTGCATATCTGACATTTGTCAGTGTCGTAGACACTGCCTTGAACCTCCAGAAATCTTGCCATAGATCAAGCATCATGAACGAACTGGATTTCACTGATGTTATTGTACCTCTGGGACATTCACCTAACCTTTGCAAGTTTCACCAAGGTACATTACTATGGCTCGTGGCTTCCTAATCATGACCAGCGTTGTCGTGTGACCAGGATCCTCGGAAGGCTCTGCCAGCCTGATTTGTGCTTGGTCTGCCCACTTGATCTCCTATCTTCATTCCAATATCTTTTTTGGATTATCAACCATTCTCATCCTTCCGTCAGCATTATCAACAGTTGCCTCCCCCTCCTGACATGCAACAGCCTGCACAACCATTTTGGTGCCTCTAATGTCTCCACAACCCTTGTGCCTCTGAAAACTCTTTCACCAATTTTTTTAAGCCCTGTCGAAGCCGCCAGCTCCGTATACTGTACAAGCTCCTAGAGTCTTACCATTGTGTCTAGACTTGCCTGTACATCTGCTTACATGGAAATTATTCTTTTAAGATGTTAATGAAATGTGAAAATTTCATGGCAACTAGGAAGGGAACCATAATAATAACTTAATTTAGTTTCATACAGCTAGTGATGTATTGTCTTCGATGTTGCTATGTATAACTGGTGTTACCAGCTTACCGTTAGAGCCCCGTCTCCCAAGAGGTCAAGGGTTCAAACCTTACCAAAGGTGAGGAGTATGTGCGAGTATTTGCAATATATAAATATTATATACTTTCAAAAAACATATAACTGGTGTTCATAGAAATAATACACTGTTGGTTGATCAATGTTTCCAATTGAGTTGGTGATTGCTTACACGAACTATATAAACATCGCAGCACTCATATATCTTTTTCACGCTTTTTTTTACTTGCTATCTTACACACCGTCTATTTTTCTCGCTTCTTAGTTGGTCTGTGCTATATATCATTTGAATGTGAAATTCGAAAATTACACTTGTGCTTCAATATTTATGGGAATCGACTAATATGGACCTGTACAATATAGCATTAGCCATTAGGCGTCAAGTTTGTGTTTTATTCTGAAGTGAATTCATATTACCTGCCTGCTTCTGTTTCTTTTTGATCCTCTTGGGCATATTTGAATTCAGTCGATGATTACATTTCATTTTGGCCTTTATATCAGGTGCTTGTGAGATGAAAATTCTTAATTCTACTATGAAGCTTGTGGAGCCTCCAGAAAATCGAAAGTTTGCAAGATTTTCCTTGGAGTACACAGAACTAGAAGAGAACATTAACAAGTTAGAACCATGGAAGCTCAAATTTGCTGGGAATCAAAATTTAGAACAAAGGGAACAATCATTTGTTGCACATGATCAAACACTTCATTGTGGCTTTGTGAAGGGTCCTAAAGGATATCCTAGCACAGGATTTGACTTGGCTGAAGATGATGTAACGTATATTAGTAGTTGCCATATTGCTGTTATCTCATGCATATTTGGAAACTCTGATCGTCTAAGATCGCCGATGGGGAAAACGGTACCATATATATTCTTATGTTTACTCGAGAATTTTGCTTTTTTTTCCAGTAGCTAGTAGTACGTACTTACTGGTTTAACATTAACGCAAATAGTAGCAATATTTGGTCACCTATATAAACTTTACTGTAAACCTTTTGACTTTTGACATGAACCTTTGGTGAGAAATGCAGGCCAATTACTTCTATAATTGAAGCTTACCTCGCCATATTAGGTACCTGAAAAGTGGATTTAGATTAGTGCTTGGTATGTTGTAAAAAGTGAGATAATGCTTTAATGATAGGAGTATCTTGCATTCATGTATGGGTTCATGGGTTGTTTCCCTATAGACTAGTATTAGATTACCAGTAGAAGCTCAAGGTACTTGTTGGCTATGCCTACATTCTACAATCTCCCTAACTTAGTAAGCATGGACACTTCATGTTATATGATAAACTCAAACTTGACAAGTATATGTATAACTATTACCTAGGAAATTTATGAAATCTCACTTTTGAAAACTTGTTCAAGTTCTTCCTTCTAACATATGCTCCTTGATATGTGCGGACACAATGTGTAGCTGTAAACTGCTCGCAATTGCCGTCACACTTCAACAAGCAACATTAGCACCTTTTTGGGAGGAAAGAAACAATATAAGTAATCTAGGATCCTAATCATCTTGATCTGATGCTAGAGTACAAGAAGGGGCTGTTCGTTTGTCGCTTAATGGGCTGTATAAGCCTTATAGCTTATTCACTCAGCTATAAAAAGTTGTTCAGTTTTGGGTTATTCACTCAACTCAAAAACATCACTCCTATGGCCTCTGCCATCAATATTTCCCCAACTACCCTTGATTTCTACCCGCATCGTTTGCTTCTCCAGGCTCACACACCTGCTTCTCCACCTACTCAAAGCTTACATGGTCATTTCCTCAAAATACAATCTCCTCTTGTTCTCTCCCTACTTGCCGTCGATCTCGTTCTCTCCAGCCACTTTCGTTCTCCGGTGGTCTCTTTCTCTCCTGTCTATATCGTTCTCCGGTGGTCTCTTTCTCTCCCGTCTATATCGTTCTCCGGTGGTCTCTTTCTCTCCCGTCTATATTGTTCTCCGGTGGTCTCCCATCTATATCGTTCTCCGGTGGTCTCCTCTTGTAACTAAAAGTAATCGTGTTTTCCTTTGATCATCTTCTATATACATCAGCCGAATATATATACAACTGAGAGGCTACAAATTAGGAAATGATCACTCATTTAGGGGTGATCAATGACAGAATAAACATCCTAAAATAGATGAGGCTAAACTCAGAAATATATATAGCTAATTTACAGCTAATACACCCCCTCAGTGTGAGCAGTGTAGGGACGAATGCACAGACTGGACCGAAAACGGTTGAATAGATGACGCGGAAGCCCTTTGGTGAAGATGTCGGCGTATTGAAAATCGGCTGGAACATGTAAAACTCGGACAACACCAATTCGAACATTTTTTCTAACGAAGTGAATATCGAGTTCCACATGTTTTGTACGTTGATGTTGTACGGGATTGTCAGATAAGTAGACAACCGAAATATTGTCACAATAAACAATCGTAGCCTTGCGAGCGTGAACATGAAGTTCAAGAAGTAAGTTGCGCAACCAGCTCGTTTCGGCAACTGCATTTGCAACTCCACGGTATTCGACCTCGGCGCTGGATCGAGATATGGTCAGCTGACGTTTTGATGACCAGGAAACCAAATTATCTCCTAAGAAGACACAATATCCGGAAGTAGAGCGCCGAGAATCGGGGCACCCCCTCAGTCGGCATCAGAATAGGCAATAAGATTCGTTGATTTGGAGGGTGAGATATGGAGACCATACGTAATTGTTCCTTTAAGGTAACGGAGTACTCGTTTGAGGAACTGGAAGTGTGGATCTCGTGGGGCATGCATGAATAAGCAGATTTGTTGTACTGCATAGGTAAGGTCCGGACGCGTGATGGTAAGATACTGTAAAGCACCTGCGATGATGTGTCCTTTCGGGTAGAAGTTGACCACTTGTGGCATTCATTTTGGGGGAAGTGTCAACAGGAGTGGAACTAGGCTTGCAATCTGCCATATGAGCTCGATATAGGATCTTAGCAGCATAATTTTCTTGAGAAAGAAATAAGCCGCCGTCTTTGCGAGCAACATTGATCCCAAGGAAATGATGAAGGGTACCTAAATATGACATAGCAAACTCACGAGATAAAAGAGCAATTATATCAGTGAGATGACGGTCATTAGAGGCCGTGAGAACGATATCGTCAACATACAACAGCAAGTAGGCCATGTCACTTCCCTTTTTGTAGACAAATAGGGAAGTATCACTAACGGTACTCCAAAAACCACACCTAGTGATATAGGTGGCAAATCTATCATACCACGCGCGAGGGGCCTGTTTGAGCCCATAAACAGACTTGCGTAACCTGCATACATAATTAGGGTGAGTGGCATCGGTGAATCTCGGAGGTTGAAACATATATACCGTCTCATTTAAGTCCTCGTGGAGAAAAACATTTTTAACGGTGAGTTGGTGAATGGACCAACCCCAGGAAATAGCGAGACTAAGCACCGTTCGAATTGTGGTCGGTTTGACTACGGGACTAAATGTTTCATCACAATCGATGCCGACCTGTTGACATTTCTCATTAACGACCAATCGGGCCTTGTAGCGTTGTAAGGTGCCATTTGCGTTAAACTTGTGACGAAATAACTATATGCACCGGATAATGTTCGCATCAGGGGCCGAGGTACCAAGTCACACGTGTGATTGTCCATTAGAGCTCGGTATTCTTCATTCATGGCATCGCGCCAGTGTGGATCGGAAAGGGCTTTGATGTGGGAATTTGGTATGGGAGAAGGTGAAGTATGTGTATCTGTATGTAGGTTAAGAGGAGGCAGAATTGCTGCTCGGGAACGAGTGATCATGGGGTGGGTTGATGCGGGTGGTGGCGGCGGTGGAGGTGGTGAAGGGGGTGATGGTGGTGGTGGTGCAGCGGTTGAAGAGGGCTGCGAGGAGGTTGTCAGGACGTGTATTTCAACGGTGGTAGGTATGGATGATAGGAGGTTGTTGGAGAGTGGGAGATGGGGAAGTGGCTGCTGGGTCAAAGATGGTAGGAGATGGATCAAATTCGAGGAAGGAGTAGTCAGATGGAGTAGTGGGATGTTTATCAAAAAAAAGGAAAAGAGGTCTCGTCGAAAATGATGTGACGAGAGAGGAGGATCTTGCCAAAAGAGAGGTCAAGGCATCGATACCCACGAAAGTTGGCGGGATATCCAAGGAAAACACGAGTGGAGCGATGTTCCAACTTGTGTTTCCGAGTCGCAGTCGTGTTAGGATAACAGGCACACCCGAAAACCCAAAGGTGATCATAGGAAGGTGTCGATGATAGAGGGCAGTCAAAGGGGTGGTGAATTTTAAGAGTTTGGTGGGGAGAATGTTGTGGAGATAGCACGCGGTATGTAAGGCTTCAACCCAGAAATGGGGGTGGGAGAGATGCGTGTGTGAAAAGGGTGAGCATGATCTCGTTAAGTCTACGAATCATACGTTCAGATTTCCCATTCTGTTGGGAAGTGTGAGGGCAAGAGAAACGGAAATGAAGACCATTTGTTTCAGCAAAAGATTTAAAATTTTGGTTATCGAATTCACCCCCTAAGTCACATTGGAAAGCTTTAATTTTGAGATTGAATTGGGTTTGGATGTATTTATGAAACTGAGAAAATTTGGAAAAAGTTTCAGACTTGAATTTGAGCGGAAAAACCCAAGTATATTGCGTGAAATCGTCAATTAAAACCATGTAGTATTTATAAYCTRCTTTGCTGGGGATAGGAGATGTCCATAAGTCGCAATGCACAATATCAAAGGGTAAAATATTAATAGACGTAGAATCAGAAAACGGTAATCGTTTGTGCTTTGAAAGTTGACAAGAATTGCAAACAAAAGATTTACTACGTTTAGAACATGGAATAATGTTATTCGAACTAAGAACATCTATGACAGGAGCACCGGAATGTCCCAAGCGATCATGCCAAAAATCTCGAGCACCGGAGGTGAAAAAGGTGGTGTTGGTGACCGGATACGAGAGAGGATAAAGACGACTGGAGCTATTGTGGCGGGACAACATCTGACCACTCTGGTAATCCTTCACAGAAGACCCATTAGGATCAAATTCAATGGACACATTATTATCAACAGAAAATTTATGAACGAAAATGAGGTTCTTAATGATGTTGGGAGTGTAAAGAATGTTGTTTAGGTGAAGGTTACGTGTGGGCGTGGGAATGATGGAGGAACCCGATCCACGAACGGGCACAGAAGCACCATTACCAACAAATATCGAGCCAATGGGACAATTTAACGAGGGTGTAGAAATCTTACCTTGGTCACCCGTGAGATGGTCAGTTGCACCTGAGTCCATGTACTATTGATCATCAACCGGGTCCATGGTCATCGTTTGAAGTGCTTCACCAAGCTGAGTTGGCTCGAGAGGGTCAAAGGTAGATAGATTGGCTTGGTTCGCCGCTGGGCCAAAAGGTGTGCAGGTGTGCCGGGAGGCGCAGGTAGGAGATTTACCCCATGGGGAGGCCCATCCCGGGTTGGTGCGATACGGACATGGCGGAGGGCTCCAATAGGCCCAATTGGGCAGCCGAGTGGGCTGAGTGTTCCACGGCGCATGGGCTGATTGAGGCTGGCCGGAACCACGCCTAGTGGCTGTTGAGGAGGATCCGCTGGAGGAGTTATTGGGCCGCCTATGTCCGGGCCTGTTGTTGGGGTGTCTTCTGTTGACAAGATTGGAAGGATCGGGCTGAGGTTCTGAGGATACGGCAGCCATGGCAGTTGTAGTCATGGTTTCCCGGGCAGTCTGTCGATGATGCTCCAATTCGAGCATACTACATGCAGTCTCCCACGTGGGAAGACTTTGATTGATATACGAGGCCACGGTATCGTATTCCGTCAGGAGTCCTCTAACAAGCTGAAGAACAAGTCTTTGATCATTAACCGGACA